TTCTAACCATTTAATGTCTATTTTTCCTTCACTGTCCCTAAACCCCAATGCTTTGAAAAATGCGCAACACACATCAGCCCCACCTTTAGTCAGTTAGCCCATCATGAGCGATAACATCCGAGTCACTGGCAATGTATTTATTGAAGGTGATGGAATGAATGCATTTGACATCATTTGCACTTTCACTGGTGCACGAGTTTATAACCTCGCGATGCGCTTGCTATGTGCGAGTGTTGAACCATTGTGCTGATGTCCAAAGGAAGGCGGCAAACGAAGGTAAAAGTTTTTTTCTCAAAATAAACGTGTTTGTGGAGGGTGTAGCTAAATGTGGTAGTGTTCAGGGGATGATTTCGTCACAACGAAATTTCTGTTTCAACGAAATTTTTCGTGCGTCCCATCAGTTTCGTTGTAGGGAGGTTCGACGGTATTGCTATCAACCGCGTAGGTTCCAGAATAATCTGCAATGTTTGCAAAGTGAGTGTAATCTTATAGAAACAATCTACAACAGTCCTAAAGCTTCTCAAACACTGCAGGTGCAATTTGCGCTGAGAATTACTAACAGTGTAACTGGGCAAGAACATAGCAAAACTTAAGGAAGGATTGTGGCATTAAACAACAAGGAATAGTCCTGCGTACATCAAAGCAGTACGTGACACTGCTAGAATTATTCGAGGCGACGTGTGTAATTTGTGTAGCCTCTTGTTTGAATAGAATATGAAGGTTGACAGTAAATAAAACATATAAACAATGTGTGTGCATTATTTTTTTTTTTTTTTTCAATTTCGTATTGAGTGAGATGCGAGAATAAGCTACCTCCACTTAGTTCGCGTTGGTGTTCTCACTGTTCTTGCATTGTGCTGGTGCCAGCTCTGACAATGCTTGATCCATGCAGCAGCCTCTCCAAACATCTGCACATAGTGGAATCCATCCCACGCAAACACGCAGCACACTACATAGAACACTGAAAAGACACAACACCGATTGTGTGCCTAACCTATAGTACAATCTTGTACGCGTTCAATATCCTGACGGAGGCGTTTCGTTCCATCGAGTCGCAAGCCATTGCCCAATTTGAGCCATGACGAATGCTGTGACGTGCTACGTCATGTGAGACAAGCTGTCACGTGTCTGTTTTCATCAGTTTTTTGGACAAAGGCAAAGTAACGGTTGGAGAGACTGTCCGAAACGAAATGGATGAATTTAAATGGCTGCGAAGTGGCATAGATTAGATTGAAATGTAAGTGCTTCGCGCCTTTTCTAGTATTTGGGCACCTTGAGAACATGACGTTTCCTCGCTCTGCCATGGTTTTTTGTCTCGCCTGTGCGGCTACTGCAGCCGAGCAGAGATGATGAAGCGAGGTAAATGATGCATTTGAATAGATGACTGAAAAACAGTTCCGACAATGTTTTCGTCTGTCGAAATGACAGGTGCGTATCTTGTGACGAACCTGACCTTATCATTTGATGCCAATCAGTCAGTGGCCTGGAAATATACACCAATGTCAATGAACAAATCGCCCAGATCATTCAACGGTCACTCATGTTTGTGCCTCTTTTATAGCGGCGGTGTCACAGCGAGCTTCATGCACTTACGCTGTCGCTCAATCCCTCCTCTGTTGTCGCAGCCGCCCTGACTGTCTTTCCGTGTCCATTGTTGTAGACAGACAGACAGGTGGACTGAGGATTCACTGTTTACCGATGAAACCATTTCAAGTTTCACCCACTCATCATCATTCACTCCGTAGATATGCTGTGATTTTTTTTTTTCTGGGCAGGCCCTTTCTCGTTAAGCGCGTCGCATCGCTCCTGCCACTAGCCGCCACCGGTCGGCGAGTGTGACGCTGTGCCCCAGCTCGATGGCTTTCGCTGCGAGTTGGGGATGCACCCTCATGGTGCATCCCATCACTTTTGAGGCTCAGTCCGCTATGGTGCACTGAGCCTGGGAAGTGATGGAAACGCGGAGAAGATGTTTGTTTTGGCTATCAGTTGAGATGCCCTCTGCCATCATTTCGCTCTACTAAGTGAACGGCTTCAAAAGTTGCACCATTTGAATTTGAATAGTGGTGGAGTCATTAGTAGAGAAATTGCTCAAAACAGGGTTGTACCTAGCGCCACCCCTTAATGTCCTCGTCTTCGTCCCGCTAAATGGCAGCGCCACCTAGTGTCATTTCATTACAATAACGGTAAAAATACGTTGAAATTGCACCACATTTCATATTCAATGTTCGAAAATTAGTGCCAACACGTTTTAGTAGTCAGCAATAATAGTTAAACATTCTTCAACATGTTAGAAACACTTATCAACTTGCTACACGATCCCGTAGTTGACGTCAAAATTGTCACACAGGCCTTCATTTCTGTTATTGGCTGTTCGCTTCTCCTTGTCCTCGGGACCGAAGCGGACAGCCCAGTTTTTGACATAACAAACGGAACGCCTCCATTTGAATTTGGAACGCGTGCAAGATTGCTTCACTGGCATTGCAAATGTAACCTTGCATGCGTGTGACTTGTTGATGTGTCTTCCGGCTCTGAATTCGGGCTCTGAGTTGCTTCGATATCAAAGGCAGAAAAAGAATTTCGCTTGCGAAGTCTACTCTGGGAGAGTGGCAAGGTTTCAAGCTCATCTCCTTTCATCATGTTTTAGTGGCTCATAATGAACCAATAAACAAATTCTTGAGGTACAAAGCTTTCCATTGGGCACGCAACAACTTCCAGTGTCTAAAATTTCTCATGTGACTTGGTGAAGTACACTTTATAAAGCAAATGACAAACAAAACAAAAACCATGTGGACATCTTTTTCTTTTACCTACACTCTACTTTCCCCTGGTGGCATTCTACGGTTTCGCATTCATTCTGCATCATCCTACGGCTACACAGAGGCACCTCCTATTTCCTGCGAGTGCGAGCCGATGGTGAGGAGACGACTTGGATGAATACATGTGTATTCATGTATTCATTAATTTGTCCACATGTATGACATGGACACATGTATTCACACATGTGTTGTTATGTATGAATGCATGTGTATTCATGCCTGTGCCCATCGGTTACTCAATCATGAAAAGAGAGGAGGTCCTTGGGTTTTAAGGCATGTTGTGGTCTGGCTTTTTGGTGTTCGTTTTTTGTTCTTTTCTCTTGATCTCTTCCGCTCTTGCATTGAGAATTGATTGTAACTCTGGGTTTCGTTGCTCTAGTCAATATGATGCACGCATGCGCATAAAGATACTGTTTAAGAAAATGTGGTTGTCAATAAAAATCAGTTGAAGTTTAGCGCTTGTGTCATCTTTTTCGTGTTTCTGTTTTAACCCGGTGTGCGCTACCATTTATATTAAGCATGTACAGAGGATAATCGGCCTTTCTATTGGCTAAGGGGCCTTGTAGCCCTGACAATGCTGAAAGGAACTTCTCAGATGGAGTACAGGTTGCACCCTATAGAGTTCTGAAAGCTCAGTTTTGTCTGGTAACATGAAAACCAGTCTCAAACTGTACTAAAAAGCAAAATTTGAGATTAAATAGTGTTAATAATAGGACTGATTTTTTAAAACAGCCATTTATAGGCACCTGTAATAATTTAGGCACAAATATCAAAAATAAGAATTTATAGGCACTATAAAAGCCCTTCTAAACTTCTAATTCATGCTCATAAATCAATGTGGCATGATTGGAACATTATAAGCATTTGCCTATAATCTGGTGTCTAGTGATAACAACACTAATATTGATGAGTATAGTTGCAATGTTAACAATAATAAAAGTGATATTTTGAGCTTGGCCAGAGTCCTTCAATGCTTTTCTGGTCACGAAACTCCGGCCGAAGTTTCATTCAGGGACAAAAGCTGCCGCTAGGATCGCCCCTGTTAGCGTGAAGGCTTCGCCGGCGGCCGGCGACGCTTGCGGGCCGGCTGTTTCTCCGTCGGCAATGCGCCTAATTTAATCTGCTCTTCATTTCCACCTGTAAAAACGCGACCTGTAAAAACGCGAGCGACGCAAGCGAAGTGTGCGTGTTTTTGATTCAGTTGACGCTTAGCTTAGCTGTGAAATAGAGGCAAGGCCACGCGTGTTACTGAGTCGTATATGTTGCAGCGTTCGTTCGTTGCGGTAGTCACGGCCGCTACGTTCTCGCTTTGAGAAGGAGGACATCTGGCGTTTTCGATTTTTGATTAGTCTTTGCAGTTTCCTGCATTTGAGTTAACTAGCACCAGATTTAAATCGGTATATACAGCCCTGGGCGACATGCTGCGCTTAGCAAATAGGTGTGCAAACGTACAGCACGTTGGGTTAGCGCTGTGTCTGCGCGATTTTATAGCGTGCTAATAATGTACAAAAATAACCTAGGTTTGGAAAGTGAGCATCAACGTGATGAAGAAAAACGCTCACGAAATGGAAGCAGCATAATGAGCGCGCGTAGGAGTAAATGCTACACACTTGAGCGACTTTCCCGGCTGTCAACATAGGTATAGGGTGTCAACAGAAAAACTCGTATGGTCAGTGTCTGACACACTCGTCCCACCAAAACGACAAGTTAATTGATTACTTGGTTATGAGGTTTAACGCGCTGACGCTATGCAGGCAATCGGGCGCGCGCCGTAGTGTAGCCAGAGTCCTTCAAGCATTGAAGGACTCTGGTGTAGCTCTCCGGAATAATTTTAACCACCCAGGTATCTTTAACATGCGTGGGAATCTCTAAAACACAGGCATTTTCTCTTTTCACCTCCATCAGAAAAGCGGCTGGGAACCCGCGTCCTTGGGCTCATCATCATCAGCACAGCGCCCTAGCCCTTGAGCCACCGCGGCGGGGACACTAAAAAAAATTCAAAAAGAAATACAGGCAAAGCTAGCCATGCTCCGCTTTGCAAATTCAAAATACCTGATTGGATAATCAAAATGTCGCCGCCGTGGATTTTGGTTCCGCCACACAGATGACAGTAACCTGACTGGCCACTTGCTGATCGTCGCAGGCAGCTGCCAAGCGCATGCAAATGACTAGAAAACGCGCCGCGGCTGTGGTGCAAGTGTTTATTCATACAAGTTTACGGCAATAGCATGGCGGATAAAGGAAATAAACAACGTCACACAAGCAACTAGGAACACAAATGTGCAAGTGTTTTTTGTCACTAGCAAACACAAAACACAACAGTTGGGCTTTACATAGCATGACAAACAGAACATCTGCTACCCATGGGGCTTGTTGCCACCATTTGCTGGGCAGTTTGCTCGCCGCGTCGCTCGTGTCAGCTTGTTTTTTTCCCTGGTGTAAAAGTGCAGGCGGCACCTCAAGAAAAAATGAACAACCTCTGCTGTGGTACCCACATAGTGCAACCTACAGCCCACACCAGCAGAAGCAATGCGGCTGTCGAGCAAAACTTGGTCAACAATGTTCGCATACACATCGGCACATGCAACTGTGTCCACAGTCAGTTCTTCAACATGTCCTTCCACAATGCGCAACAGGCTGAGAAGCTGGGATGAGGGCACTTGCAGGAATCCTCTTGACTTCTTCTGGATTAGGTCGATTGGCTCTCGTGTCTGGCTCTTGAGTGTTCCCACGCAGTCAGTGCAGCTTATCGTTGAAAACTTCTTTACCACGTAACCGGCAAGATAATCAAGAATGCACTCTTTGGTGGAGAGCGTAACTTCAGGCACGGATGCATTGTTCACTGCCTCTCCCGGCTCCTCAAGAACGTCATCAAAGAGGACCGCCAACATGTCAATCTGCAAAATACATTCCAAGTTTCAAATCTTTCAATGTATAAGTTGAGATTCGTAAATGCAAAAACACATTATGTTTCATTTGGTTATTTGGTCATTTGTGTAGTGAAACTGCTCCTGAAAAAAAGAAACTAGAGCTAATAAATAAAAGCAAGGGGCACGTTACCTGACTGGAGGCAGGTTTTCCCTTGTCAAAGAGGCCCTGGAGCTTGAGCAACAGCTGGGGTCCATCTCCCTCGACCGAAGCCCGTTTTGGCGGCCGAACTAGGTTGTTTACAGAGAGCATCCGATAGATGAACAAAAAATGTTGCACAGTCGGCTGCCCTCCGTCACCAGCAACATGCCTGACGATGCCGAAAAACCTCTAGAAAGAAAAAATCAATTTATCGCAACAATGAGAAATTCATAGCACATTTATACACATAAAAGTCATCATGTTTACCTCTAGAGGATCTTGTCCGAAGTTCCCAACGAGAACGTAACGAAACCCAGACAACAGCAAGCTCTCGATGAGTGCAACTGAGCTATGCAGTGTCAGTTTGAGGGCTCCACATGTCTGCTTACTCAGAAAGCAGACTTGCCTCTGGGTCGGTAATGTCTTGATGTATTTCTCCCAGTTGTCCAGCCATGCAATGCTGTCCTTCAACACCTGGAATAAAATTATGCTTCATCTATAGTACACGAAAAACACTTCATAACACATGTAATAATCTCACAGCAATGTATTGTGCTTCGTTGAATCGAACATGGTCTGGCCTCCGAGAGTTCAGGCAGTCGAACAGCTTGTTCAATGTTCTTGTGAATTGCGATGTTGCAGCCGACCCATGGAGCTTCTTGCAGTCTTCCTGCTCGCTATAAAACTCCATGGCCGAAGCAGTACTCTCACTGAACAGCTGTAAAATGTGTGGAAAAAAAGGATTTTAAGTTTACTTCCCAAAACGTGTGAGCAGATGTTTTTGAAATACACTTTGCACTGAACATAGCTGCGTGCATGACTTGCCTGGACAGCCAACTTCACGCTCATCTTTTGGAACGCATTGGGGAAAATATGGGCTTTCGTTAACTTCGGTACAGCCCGGAGTCCAGCCTGTTCTTCTTCATAGTCCAGTAAGTCCTTGTAGTGACAGTGGAACACCTCCTGTCCTTGAGGGAGCTGCAACATAAGGACAAGTGACACATTTTTTTTTTAAACTGAATAGTTTATGCACAGGTCAAGGCATTCACATGCAACTTTTTTTTACTTACCAAAAACTTGCCCACTTTGAGCAAGTTGTTTCTGATGCACTTAAATATGTGCGGTGGATCAATTACAACGTGGACTTGCTTTGAGGGCTCACACGGGTGTTCAAAACACGTTTGAAGCTTGTGCATGTCCCCGTTGACACCTTGAGAGAAAAACAGTTTAATAGTACACTTGTTTTTCTACTACATCACTAACCACAGCTAAATAAAATTTGAAAAGACGTACCCAGAGATCTCAAGGCTGATTGGTTTGATGTGGAGTTGTCGCAGGTCACTGCGTCAACAACACCACCAGCGTTTGTAAGGTGAACAATGCACTGCAAAAGGAGCTTCGCCACGATTGATCCTGGGGCAGCACCAGAAGCACAAAATGTGCCCACAGTTTGTGACCACCCTCCCAGAAAAGGCCGAAACAGAAAGACCAGCACGTGGTCGCCGTCTTTGCCATGGTCACCTGGTCGTGTGTGTTCGGCGAAATCCACCTTGCCCAGCAGTGCCATGTCCGACTCGCGAATGTGGACGCTTTTTCTGATGCTCATTTCATCGAACATGAGCACTCCTGGAAAGTTTTGGGTAGGTTAACATCTTGTCTCAATTGCGCTGCTGAATATAATACAATTATAAAAATGAGTACTGCTTCTTACCTCGACGCTCTCTTTCTGGAACTGCTTCTAGCTTTTCACACAGAACCGTGAACAAAGTGCTGTCGAAGCCAAAATCAGCTTTCAGATTTCTGAGGTAGCCATAGAGGGTGCGGGGATTTGGAAGGGGCAAAAATTCATTTTCATGAAGAAAAGTGTAGACTGCTGTGGACTTTATCTTTAGCAGCAAGCAGTCATAAATTCACTCTTTTTTGTACCTGGAGAGAATGAATTGCAAATTTGTTTTCCACAATGAGCGTGTTGGAAACTATTCATGCAAAGCAAAAAATAATGAGAATGGTGTTATAAAAACTGAAGAAAGTATATTTGCCCAAACAAACCTGCAATTTTTCCCGAAATTAGAAATAACACTACACAAAACGGCCAAACCAATGTCTGCCTCAATAGCATATTGTTTTGCGGTACAACAGATAAAAATACATGATGAATAAATGAAGGCTACACCTTGAGATAACATTTTCAAACGCAAAAGGGGCAATCCAATAGCAATGTTACGTGTGTGATGGGGTATTTGGAACTTACCGCGCAGCTGTTGCAGACTTCGCGTTGGCTTTCATGAGCCAGTGGTCAAAAATGAGCTTCTCGCGAGCCGAAAGCTTCTGAACGTCTTGGTGCGATCTTCTGCTCCTATTCGCTTGCACTGTCAATTTCGCAATCTTCACTTGGCACAAACGAAGTTGCTGCTTAGTGCTTCGAAGCTGGTCTTTAACTGCGTGGAGCTCTGAGATGGAGCAGACATTTCCCTCTGTCTGGCATGCCATCTCTGTGCAGCTTCCAGTGCTTATCGCTCCACCTGTCAAACGAAGAAATATGGATCAATATAATGCGACATCACGCAGCACACAGGCAATACAGGCTCTCAACATAGTGAAACAAGAAAACAAGGCAACGCGAATGGAGGCTTACCATCATCTCCGGCTGCTTCAAGATCGCAGGGCTCTGTGCTGGAGCTCACAGAAGCTGCAGTGCCATCGTTGTTCGGCGACGAAATGCGACGACGTTTTGCAGGTGGATTTTCTCGCTGTGAGCCCGACCGTGGCTTGGGCTTCGTAAGATACGCCGGCAGGTTTTCAAATATCCGGGGTATGGCACCGACGCGGAGCTTAGGCTTCTCGCGCTGCAGAAGCACAGATTGTCCACTTATTCTGAACTCATCGGCTCGAATAATGTCCGTGGTGTCGAAATGTTTCTCGCACACACGAACGGCCTTCGACTCGAAGTTGAAAGCGCCCGTCTCCTGTCGTGGAATGGCTCGCTTCCACCTGTCGCGTTGTTCGCGGTCGCTTGGGAGGCAGAACAGCGAAGCTTTTTCTGTACAACTCCGATAGCCAGAGCGGCAACCAGGTACGCAGCACGTCAGAGGCATGGTAGTTCACATAGTTTGCCGTCCGTGATGAGTGTAGACAGCTATACCACACAACAAACAAACCAGTAAGCTCGCGCTCCAACGCACTGCAAACGCTGCAAATGCGGCCGCCGCCGTCCAAGCCGCCTTCACCAGACTCGTAGCGCCACCGCGCGGGAGCTTTGATCCCCATATGAAGCTCTCCCATAGCGTTACGGAGAAGTTTCGTGACCAGAAAAGTATTGAAGGACTCTGGCTTGGCTAAGGGCTGGTCACACCCCATCATGAAAGGGACGCTCCTTCACTCCCCCATTTACTCTCATCAAAAAGCTTTAAGATCACTCGAAAGCGAAAACCACCTTCTTTTTCTTCTGTATCAGTTGTATCTATCGCCGTGCCTCTAAAAGATTGACGTAGTATCTTTTTTGAGTCAGCCCTATGTTGGGGACATGTAAACTAAGAAAGTTGAAGTTTTGTTAAAAGAAACATTTAGTTTGTGGATGTATTAAGGAATGTCCTCCACGGGAATTTCGTGTCGATAAACCACATCTTTTGCTGATTGATGACATGTGGAAAGTGGAAATTACCCTACTCCTGATAAGAAAATTGTATTACTGCCCTACTACCCCAAGCTGCCACAGTAAACTTAGGGTAATTGGTTGGCAACCCTGGTGAGGCTAAAAGTGAGATGCTGAGCATCTGTATGGAGGCAACCTATTCAAGTGCGAGCCATTTCATCATTACAAATAAGTAATGAAGGTGGCGATTTTGTAAATGGCCTCCCACGGGGTCCTTTGAAAAGCTATTTTCTGTAGTTATGAAGAATTATGTCGGGAGCATCTTTATGTAATCAACTATATTATAGTTAGACAAAGTGAGAAAGTTGAAAAGTTGCATTGCTGTGCTACTCAGCCTTCCTCAAGGTCTCACGTACACTCATTTATTTCTTCCGAAGCATCTCCCCAGCACTCTGTGTTGGACAACACAGATTGCTATGATCGTAACGCACGGCTGTGCTAAAAAACACAGAGAAGGGTTGTACACAGGACTATGCTGCGTACATCTCTTCTTTGTGTTATCTTTAGCACAGCCATGCGTTACGTTCCAAGTATGCATGAACTGACCCCCAAAAAGTTATTACTGCTATAATCGGTGGTGGAGCAAACAGTGCTTCTGATTAACCCTTTCATTGTTCGGTGCTTCTAGCCGTGATGCACTGTCGGCTTAGTTTTGGGAGTATCAGGGAAGCTTGGAACAGAGAGAAATGGTACGTTGTGAAGTAGAGGTAGCAAATAGGATGAATGGAAAGGGAACACAACGACTTTGTTTGCTGCTGATAGCAGCGATTAAGTGGTGGTTTGGTTTGTCAGAGAGGCAACGGCACGGCCTGAACTAGCAGGCGCCGTAGGAGGCACGCCAACAGAATTTTAAAAAATAAGAAGAACCTGCAAGCTGTTGTCACCACATGTTCCAAGGCCAAAGGCAAGTGTGCAGCCTCACTAAACACTGTGCAGACTATTATCTGATGGATGGTGCGTCGGTGCTGCCTGTGCTGGCCTTGGACCTGCAGCGGGGCGATGAGCTGGCCGACCTGTGTGCTGCTCCTGGGGGCAAGCTGTTGGCAGCCATGTGCACGGGACTTCTTGGTGGGTGCGACAAAAATGCTCACAACCAGAATTACACATTGCTGCAAAAGTTGTATTGTGTGTAAGATTTCATGTAGTGCTTACAGCCAGCCCATTCTGGCTGCACTGTGCCTGGCTGGTATAGCATGTTCTACATTGTCGCCAAAAAAGTGCAGCTCAATCGGTTGACCATTCTCTGTATTGCAGGAGAGACGCCAGCATTTTTTTTTGTTGCAAACTAGCATGATGAATGTGCAAGTACTTAAGTGCCCACTCTTATCTCAGAGCTGCAGACACCCTGATAGCCTAAGGTTCAGAAGGACCAGAACTTGTTGAGCCAGTGATTGTGCTTCAACATCGAAAATGAGAGGCTCCAAACAGTATAGCCCAGTAGCTGCCAAACATTTAAATTCGTTAGAGCTAGTGTAGCCAAAATGATTGCCAAGCATTTTTTCTAGGTTTGTGCAGATAGTGAATTGTAGGTTCGAAGCTAATAGTGATTTGGTCTAATCGATTTCCGAATAGTACACACCCCATCATATACAGTAGAATCTCAATTATTCGAATTCAGAGGTATCACGCAAAATATTCGTATCATCCCAAATTCTTATGAACCAAAAACAAGTTAAGCTGATATTCAAGATGAACAAAAACTTTATTGGCAACTCCTTCTTGCTAAAAAAAGTTCATGATGTTCTTTTGAACTTCCCTGCCTTCACTGTCTCTCAATAAAGTGCCACTACTTCTTTACTCATGCTGCCAGAGCAGCACGTTTATACTTGACATCAAAGGGAGCGAAAGTCATTGAAAATTCACTCGTTTTGCTGCTTAAGCGACCGGAAAGCCGCACTGCAAAGTCGACAGGAAAAAAGTCAGTCTTGAAGAATTCACACTTGAGTATTCAAACGAGAACGCCAGAGCGGCCGCAAAACCACGTCTGCGCCCATTGAAAATGTTCGAATTTGTTCTGCCTCTCATATACATGCCACCGCCGCCATCTTCGCCGCTTGATAATTTATTCCTGAACATTGAAAATTCCCACCGAGTTCTAGTTATGCATACAAATAACTAAAAATATACAGTTTACACTTTTACAAACATTGTCTCGGGAGATACGTTAGAAGAGACAACACAAGCAGATGCACCGACAGTGGCGGCGATAGATTCAGCCAGCACTGCAAAAGCACAACACGTTAGGCCATGCCGACTCGCTGCTGCTGCACCTTCTTCTACTTCTGGGGTTTGCAGCAATCGTAATCCAAGCCGGGCTTTAATGAACGAGTCTTTTTCAATGCCATGAGCTTTGTCCTGCTGTGCGGGTAGTTTGGGATTGTGCCGATGTAAGCCACCGCACCTGCCGACGCCTTGGCCGCCATTTTTAATGTACGGCTGGTTGTTTACATCACGTGGTTCGAGAGCTAGCGCAGCCGGTGTAGCCAAATTCGTAGCAGAAAGGCGATCCGCTATCGCGTGTTGGCAAAATTGGTATTGAACCAATTTTTTCGCGTCGGCCTCACGGCATTGTTTTCAAGCCACTTTTCCTGTCGAAAAGCATGAGAAATTTTGGTGAGTTTTGTCACATTCGCTCCCTTTGAGGCCAACTGGGAACAGTCTTCCTCCCACAGACAAGCTGCGTTGTGCCGCTCGCCTGCAGCGATCAATCATGCATTCGCGGTTGCCGGGGAAACCGTTCGTATAGCACTGAACCACGGCGTATTTTCTATAATGTAGTCCATCCGAAGCAACTTTAATATTCATATCATCGCGGAATTTGCATCAATCGTAATTGTATCATCTAGATTCTACTGTAAAGAAAAATGGACTATTTATCATTACCTATTTAACCTGCACATCATATTTTAAAATTTAAACAAGGCCAGTGCAAATGCCTGTCATTTTGGTTCAAAGAAAGCGGAAACAGCTTTCAATAGTAGTAGGATTTAACTTTCAGTAGAATGCGAGTGGTAACCTGTAAAATATGTTACATTTTAAAATTCTCTACACTTTGAGCATGTAGGCAAGTGTAGCAAGCTTTTAAACTTGAAAAAAAAAAAATGATGAATCAATATGAGGGTTCACTTGAACTTGAACACGGCAGTATGGACTTCCCTTGAATATATGTTTTTATGTTTTGTCATTGCTTCACTGTATTGAAACCACCTTTACAGTTGGTTACGTGGAAGCTGATAGTATACGTCTGGTCAGGTGTTTTCACGGTTTAGCACTTTGTTGCAGTGAAACCACCTTTACAGGGGGTTTATATGGGAGCTAATGTATATTTTTATATAGGCGTTTTCATGGCTCAGCACCTCCCTAATGCACTGAAACCACCTTTACAGGGTATTACATGCGAACTAGTATGCACTTTTTCATTCATTTCAAACACTTCTAAATTTCTTATAATTCGAGAAGAAGTCAATTTGAATACTTTAATTATAAGCCTTCAAGTATACGTACAAGCTAAATATTTTCATTTGCATAGCGTTTACTTAATGCTTGTTCCAACTAATATGTAAGCCTTTCTTGGCTCTTTTGTTAAAGCTCATTTTGATTTCACCAGATTTGAGTGTAAGTAATGAGACAGATCTCTGCATATGCAACATGGTTTTGAGGAGTTGAAAACAGCCAGAGTCGTGAACCCATGATCTGAAGCAGAGCACGCAGCTCTGGCCAGGCGGAGGATTCGGTTTCTTAAGAATCAAGTGTCTAGTGGGTACTATTGAATCGGGCGGCTTGATACCACATAATTATGCACTCTGTGTCCTCTTTTCTGGCCCCTCCAGTCGATTCCATTTATTTGCACTCATAATTAGTCTAGTGGGTGCGTCATACTAGCATATCCTAATATAAACACTAGCGTGTTTGTTTTCCGACTTGAGAAAGCTAGCTGACCATGTGCATCCTTGTCCACACACGTGACTGGAGGACGTCGTATTCAGGAGAGTGAGGAGCGTGTTGTACTATAGGAGTCTAACTTTCTGCCAAAAAAGTCTGAAACAAGTGTGAGGAATGTGCAGGAGCATTCTCATGATGGATGCGCAAGTTTCCTGTTGACCACCACTCAGGTCTCTTATGCCACACAGCATCACATAGGCAACGAAGGACATCTCTGTAGTAATATTTGGTGATTTTTTGACGCTGTAGTGCGTACTCGTGGTGTACCACACCGCAGGAGTCAAAGGAAGCACCCAGCAACACTTTGACGTTGCTGCACATTTGGCGGGTCTTCTTTGGTGTTGGTGACGTAGAATGCTTTCACTGTGACCACTGAGCTTTAGTTTCCGAGTCGTACCCGTAGACCCAAGACTCATTGCCAGTGATAATGGTGTTCCTGAAGTGAGGGTCACTGCTTGTGAAATCCAGCATGCCTTTGAGAGTTCAACACGAAGTTGCTCTTGCTTCACCGTGAGCAGTTTCGGCACGAATTTGGCCACAACTCTCTTCTTAGCCAAATGTTCAGTCATAATAGAATGTGCAGAAAAAGTGCTGATGCTCAACCCTTCAGCAATTTCCTGGATAGTAACACGGCGGCTCCACATCACCACAGTGTTCGCTTCGGCAATGACCTGGCCATTTTGGCATGTTGACGGCCGACTGGAGTGTGGCTCCCTCTCCACCGTTGTGCAGCCTTCTTTTAAACCGGTTGTACCACTCCTTAATCTGTGTGCGGCTCATAGCGTCATCACCGAAAGCCGTCTTTATCTTCCTAATGGTTTCCACTTGCCCAGTTTCTGGCAAAATTAGATGCAGTAGTGCTGCTCCAGTCGCTCTGTCATTTTCCTCGCAATGAAAATCTGACGAGAGTACTATGCACTACCTCACTCAAACACTGCATCCCAATAACAGACACCATTGGCAGGCAGAAAAAAATTCACCCATGTGCACAGAGGTTCAAAGTTTGCTGATGCAAGTGCGCTTGTTTAAAAACTACCAGGTGCTTGCAAAAAAAAAGTCAGATACTTTTCTAACAGACGTATTGCCAAAAGTCATAAGCTTACTTCCCGGCCGGACAGAGTTTTGCACAATTTAAGTGTACCACGAATGCATTTGAGCAGTTTTTGAATGCAGTTAATGTTACGAGAGTATATGCTCTCTCGTTTAAAAAATTTTATTAATGAGAGACTGCAGTAAAAATATGTTTCGTAGTCGCAAGTTACAAAATACTTGTTACTTGACACCGGCAACGAGAGAGCATCAGGTAGACAACGAAGACAATGAATGTGATTCCGCTCGTGTTGTTGTTGCTGTTGTACCTCCATCTTGGCCGCAGCTGCCTCTGACTCTCCCTGTATATTTTGTAAATATATTTATTTCATTCATTCTTTCACCCCATGACCTTTGGTGGTGATGCGAGGTACAACACGATATAACGGAGCTCCGCAGTGGCCGACGTTTGGATTAGATTTTTCCACCATGGCAAACCAGGCACCCCCTCCCGCCGAGGCGACTACAACAACTGTTTTCCTTCTGCAGCTGAAAGATCCTGGCATGTTCTGTGGCACTGATGATGTCAACATTGAAGAGTGGTTGCCGTTGTACGAACATACAAGTTAGAATTACCTCTGGGATGAAACTCTTATGTTGGCCAATATCCTGTTCTACTGGAAAGGAACAGCAAAAGTGTGGTTCGAGAACCACAAAAATGAAATTGGAAGCTAGGATGCATGCAAGGAAAAGATACATGCCCTTTTCGGCAAGTCTGTGGGTAGAAAGGCAGTGGCCAAGAAGGAGTTGGCATCTTGTGCGCAAACGTCACCAGAGCCCTACGTGACTTACATACAGGATGTGCTCGCCCTTTGCGGAAAAGCAGACAATGGCATGGAAAAAACCGAGAAAGTAGCACACATATTGAAAGGCATTGCAGATGATGCGTTCAACCTTCTCATATGCAAGGACTGCAACACGGTCGATGCCATCATCAAGGAGTGCTAGCGTTTTGAGGCCACAAAAAGTCGACGTATCGCCCACCATTTCACTCAACTTCCAAGCACAGCTGCAACCTGGTCGTGCGAAGACGGGTCTGCACTACAGACGCCGTTAACTGCAGAGCATGTGACCAAGATCATCAGATGTGAACTTGAAGCTCTGTCTCCTGCGTCCACGGGCTCCCATGCCTGTAACCCTAGCCCTCAGATGGTGCCACTGGTACATGCCATTGGGCGACAAGAGCTTTCCCATGATGGACTGGCCTCCAAGTGCACTACAGCTCCCTCTCAGTAAATCGACCGTCGTCAACCCCCTGTTTCGTATGCCCAAAGCCAAAACCTTCCGGTGCGCCCACGCAATCTAGCCGAATGGAGGACTGCTGACGATCGTCCGATTTGTTTCAACTGCCGCTGTATCGGACACGTGGCCCGCCATTGTAACACTCAGTGGTATTGGCATATCCAATGGGTACACCCATCGCCCAGAGAGGGATCATGGATGCTTTCAATCTTACTGGGAATCACCTCAGACCATCAGCAAAGACGTTCTTTCTATGCCGCCATATCGTCGTCGTTCTCCATCTCCGCATGCTCACTAGTCCTGTTCCTTGCTCTCCCGTCGCCCGTTGTCTCGCTCGCCCCAATTTCGCCGACTGACCACCTGTCGCAAGCAAACTAGATGATGCAGCTCCCGGAGGTGATACATCGACCACTTCCCCGCCAAATCCTCTGACCATGCTGCCGACTCGACGCAACCGTATTGACATTGAAGTAGACGACACGCCCGTTGTTGCACTTGTGGACGCAGGGGCTCACATATCAGTGATAAATTCAGAACTTCGTTGCCGCCTTAGGAATGTTTTAACACCACCCACAGTACCACTCATCCAGGTCGCCGACGGTGGCACATTTCCCGTGCTTGGAATGTGCTCCGGACGTATAAGTGTTGCCGATCGCTCCACGACAGTGCTATTTGCTGTGCTCGAGAAATGTTCCTATGAACTTATCCTCGGCATGGACTTATTATCCGCCCACTCTGCCCTTATTGATTGCGGAACCGGCATGCTTCAACTTGATTTACCGTGTTACCATGATGACCCAACACCAGCTCAACCACGTCTCTGTTTTATAGATCACGTTTGCCTAGCACCTCAAGTCGTTACCTACGTGAACCTGAGATCTGTCCCTCCTGTTCCCGACAGTGCCTACATGTTGACACCTATTGCTGACGTCCTGCTGGCCAAAAATGTTGCCGTGCCTCGCACCCTTTTGACAGTCACGGGAAATACAGCATATCCTTCGATCCTAAACTTCAGCTTGTGCACTGTAGTTATCCCAGATGGTATGGCTTTGGTAAAAGTTTCTTCTATAGATGCTGCCATTTCGGCATTCGTTGCCGAATATTCTTTGTCTTCACCTTCATTTTTCTCCTCGAAGAGTGCAGCGGATGCCACTATCGACAAGATGATTGCCCCTGACCTTCTTCCAGCTCAGACAGCTGATATCCAACACCTGCTGAAATTCTACCGTGACATCTTTGATTTTGATGACCGCCCTTTGGGTCAGACATCCTTCGTAACTCATAGGATTAACACTGGTGACGCCAGCCCCATCCGACGACGTCCTTATTGCGTGTCTAATGCTGAGCGACAAGTTATCCAGCACGAAGTTGAAAAAATGCTCACAAAAGACGTCATCGAACCTTACTGCAGTCCATAGGCATCGCCGGTCGTGCTAGTCAAGAAGAAGGATGGCAGCTGGCACATCTTCGTAGATTACAGTCATTTAAACAAAGTAACACGTAAGGACGTGTATCCACTGCCGCGGATTAACAATGCTCTCGACTGCCTACATGGGTCTGCCTACTTTCCATCTATCGACTTACGAGGATACTGGCAGATTTCTGTCGATCATCGAGACTGTGAGAAAACCGCATTCATTACACCGGATTAATTTTACCAGTTCAAGGTTATGCCATTCAGATTGTGTAATACCCCAGCTTCATTTGAAAGAATGATGGACTCTCTCCTGCGTGGATACAAGTGGCCCACATGCCTGTGCTATCTCGATGACGTCATCGTAATTTCACCTACATTTGAAAGCCACCTTAGCCACCTATCGGCTGTTCTTGAAGTTTTCCGAGCAGCAGGACTTCAGCTCAACTCTTCGAAATGTCACTTTAGCCATCGGGAAATCGCTGTGCTGGGCCACCTTGTCAGTGCTCGAGACGTGCAACCTGGTCCTGACAAAATTAGAGTTGTCAAAGATATTTTCATACCACGTTCCGCAAAAGATGTACGCGGCTTTATCGGCCTTTGTTCTTACTTTCTACGTTTTGTGAAGAATTTCGCTGGCATTGCCCGACCACTTACGGAACTACTGAAGAAGGACATGCCTTTTTATTGGGGTACTGACCAAATAACTGCCTTCAGCACCCTTACAACACTACTTACTTCCCCACCCATCTTGGTCCATTTCGACCCATCAGCCGATACTGAAGTATGTACCGATGCCAGCGGACATGGAATCGGTGCTGTTCTTGCCCAGCGGCAAAGAGGACAGGATCGCGTCATCGCTTATGCCAGTCGCCTCCTTTCTCCTTCTGAGAGCAAGTTTTCCATCACAGAGCGTCAGTGCCTCGCACTAGTCTGTGCAGTCGGAAAATTTCGACCATACTAGTATGGCCGCATATTTTCGGTAATTACGGATCACCATGTCTTGTGTTGGCTGTCGCCCTTTAGAGATCCAACTGGACGACTTGGCTGTTGGGCCTTAAAACTCAAAGAATGCAGCTTTAACGTGGCATATAAATCTGGCCTAATGCACCGGGATGCCGACTGTCTATCCCGTCACCCCGTGGACCCACCCGACCTTTCAGCACATGATTCTGACCCTTGTGCCTTCGCCATGTCTGCTTTCACCGACATACGCAAGGAACAGCTCAGCGATGTCCGCTTGCGGTCTATCATGCAGAGTCTACGTTTGCCCCACGTAGGCCCGTTGCTATACTTGTCCGTTCTACGCGGTGGCATTCTTTACCGACGCAACACCAGCGCCGAGGGACCAGAGCTACTACTCATAGTTCCTGCGACACTCCATTCCACTGTTATTAAACAGCTTTACGACGCCCTAACCGCTGGACATCTCGGGGTCACGCGCACGTACGATCGCATGTGACGTAGATTCTTCTGGTTAGGTCTTTACCGATACGTTGCTGCTTGTGAGTCCTGCCAGTGCTCCAAACATTCCACCTTGCCAGCGGCTGGTCCGCTCCAACCAATAGACATGCCCACCATCCCCTTCTACTGCAACGATCTTGATCTTGTTGGACCACTTCCTACTTCTCTCACTGGAAACAAGTGTATAGCCGTGGCCACTGACTACGCCTCAAGATACGCTGTCACACGAGCGCTACCGACAAGCTGTGTCACTGACATCGCGGACTTCTTGCTTTGTGACGTAATTCTTCACCATGGCGCTGCTCGACAGCTGCTGACCGATCGTGGTCGCTCATTTCTTTCAGAAGTAGTAAGTGACATCCTTCGCTCGTGTTCGACACGTCACAAGCTCACTACGGCCTACCACCCGCAAACAAATGGTCTTACCAAGCGCCTAAATTGAACCTTGACAACAATGCTCTCCATGTACATTTCCAAAGATCACCTTGATTGTGATAGTACTTTGCTTTATGTGAGATTTGCATACAATTCGTCACGCTACGACAACGCTGGCTTCTTCCACTTCTATTTATTGTTCGGCCGCCATCCAGCGTTAGCCTTCGAGATTCTTCTCCCATCAACTATGCTAATGGTTGCAGAGTATGCCCGGGATGCCATTGCTCGGGCTCAAGTGGCCCGCAAATCGCACAGGAATGTCTTCTTGGCTCGCAGCTCTCTCAGAAAGCCCGCTACGATAGCCATCATAGAATAGTTTCCTACTCTCCAGGTTCATTGGTCCTCCTCTGGACATCATGCCGCCACGTTGGCCTCTCTTTGAAGCTCCTATCTCGCTACTCGGGGCCTTACAAGGTTTTACGCTGGCTTACTGAGGTCACATATAAGATCGCTTCGTTGGACAGTCATTCGTCGTCGTCCGCACACGCCACTGACGTCGTTCACGTGTCCTGTCTGAAACCATACATCAATGCTTATGATGCTACCCTCCTTTAGGCGCCGCCCTGCCGCTGTGGTCTAGTGGCTAAGGTACTCGGCTGCTGACCTGCAGGCCGCGGGATTGAGTCCCGGCTGCGGTGGCTGTATTTCCGATAGAGGCGGAAATGTTGTAGGCCCGTGTGCTCAGATTTGGGTGCACGTTAAAGAACCCCAGGTGGTCAAAATTTCCGGAGCCCTCCACTACGGCGTCTCTCATAATCATATAGTGCTTTGGGATGTTAAACCCCACATATCAATCAATCCTTTAGGAGCCGAGATGGCGCTACCAGCGGCGGGGGGTTATATATTACACGACATCGGCAACAAGAGAGCATCAGGTAGACGACGAAGACGATGAATGCGATTGCGCTCATGTTGTTGTTGCTGTTGTACCTCCATCTTGGCCGCAGCTGCCTCCGACTTTCTCTGTATATTTTGTAAATATGTTTATTTCATATGTATGTATGTTGACTCCTATGTTGACTCCTATGGGCATTCGTCGGTGCTTTGAAAATATTGCGTTGTGGTGAGCACTCTGTTCCCTCAGAATGCTGTTATCGCGGGCTTCAACTGTGCTTGTGCACATAAATTTGCTCTTTTTTTTTCGGAATCCTGTGGAGCCAGCAGCTAGTGGCTCTGTGTAAGTGGCATACAGGGTAACTTGTTTTACGAGTGCTTCCTGCATTTCACCTATTTGATGAGGTAGCAGCTGAGCAGGGAGAAGTGTGAAAGGGTCCACGAAGAAAGCACCACATTGCTACGTGCTCGACCAGGGATTATAAAATGGTACACACTGGCATCATCTTCTTTGCAGGCAGGGCAGTGGCATGCGATGCATCCTCATCCCGTGTAAAGCGCCTGCGTGAATGTCTCCAAAGCTACCTGCCAGAAAAGCAGCTGCAGAAGGTCACTGTACTGCACCGCAACCTGCTTTCTCCTGGCTTCATGGAGCATCAGTCATTTGACAAGGTGCACTGCATATAACTACAGTTGTGTGCTTACATCACTGCACGCTTTTACTTTGTGTCTGCATAAATTTATTGCAGTGTTACGAATGTGCTCTTCTTACAAATCTTGCTAGTTGTTTAGTCAATGTGTGGCTATAACTCGTGGGGTCTTGAAATCGAGGCAGCACACTCTCGGAGCGAATGGACACATTAGATGCTAGGCGTGTGCGAATATTAGAATGTTTCGAATATCCAAACTAATAGTAGACTAGCCGAGTTCGCTTTGATTCAAATGTAAATTATTGCAAAAATAGATGTATAATAATCTTCATGTAACCTTCTGTAAAAGTAATTTCACTGCAGTGTAGGACTGCTAAACCGTAAAAACATCTTATTAGGTGAGTTTTGCTTTGCCGCAAAGCCCCCCTTCAAGATTAAAGGAGCCCTTCAACACTCTTTGAGCTTGGTCAGACAACCCTGCTCATTGGTAGTCAAGGCTACCGAGAACACACGATACAAATAATATAGCGTAGCGCGCCGCCTGCTTTTCAGAATAAATTCGCAAAGTCAGCTGAAAATTCTTGTCTTCTCCTGACAAATGACACCACAAGCTCAAAAATCACTTGTCACAGCCACTTTATCTGCCATTGGCTGATTTGAGCATGGCAGCTCGGTCGTAACTGGGGCTGCCGCCGGAGGCCGCGACTTGTCTATGGGTATGTGGGCGATGGTACTGAGAAGCCATGTATTCGAAGCAAAAAAAAAAAAAAAAAGTGGTCAAGGTTACAATGTGCACCGGATCTATTTTCTTTCCCCAGGTATTCTGTCCCTGCTTAGCCTCCAGCACTTTCAACGGGACGGAAAGTAAGAATACAATTCCAGTGTGTGACAAAGCTGTGCAACTCCGCTTGTACTGGATGGATTCTAAAAATTGTTGTGGCAGTGAAGTCGTGAAGTAATCAGTGAATTCATTCTAGGGCTACTTCAACAAGTGTTGCAGGGCCCCTTTAGAGGGCCCGTAAACCACCCAGAGGTCGAAATTCAGTTGTTGTGCTATAATTATGCACGAGTGTATGATGAACACGGAGCTATGAGAAGTTTTTGAAACAGTGCGGTAATAGCGGAGCACAACGCGTTTGATTATAGAAACCGTAATGACCACACCTTTTGCTCTCTCCTGTGCTTCCCTCCTTTGGTATCCTTTCCCAAGCTGCCTTGCCCTCTTGCCGAGCACCTCTCCCATGTCCCTCCCGATCTCGCATGGCATACGTCATCGCTGACGCACTGCTTGAAATTGCCGCGACTCAAGCTGTCGACTTCCATCAGGTGCGTGCTTGTTGGTGAACCGTGGCTGTCATAACCGTGCCGGTATGGACCCTGCATTGCGCGCACTCCTTCAAAGGATCGCCAACGCAATGGATCAGTGCAGGGACGCGCCGTGCCCCGTGCAGGTTGCGGGCAACACGACGAACAACAAGCAGTGCCAACAGCTGGTTGCAGACCGACAGGAAGTCGTAGGCTCTTGCTTGACCAATCACAACATATTCAGCATATTTAGCTCGGCCCGTCAGAGATGTGGCACATCACGTCACGCAGAGGCCCAAAAGGCCAGGAAAAAAGGAAGGATTGTCTCTTGTAATTTGTGGCGTGCTGACGGCTCGTACTGCTGCCACGTGTAGAATCGTTTACGTGAGCCTTTCAAGTAAACGCGTTTACTTGAAAGGCCAGAGAAACTATCGGAGGTGGTTTATGGGTTTTTTAAATAAGCATATGACCCTCAAATCGAATCCTCATTTTTAAGTTTAGAGGCTTGTTATCCTGGCTTATATGCTTTTAATATAACAAATTTTAAAATGTTACGCATTTTACAGGTTATAGCTTGCATCCTACCGAAAGTAGAATTTCGCTACTACTCAACAATATTTCGACTTCCTTCGAATGCAAAATATATGAGCCTTTGCATAGATGCATTATTTGGATTTTTAATAAATATTTTGCTGGTTACGTAGGTCATCATAAATATGCCCATTTTTTTTACTTGTAATATACCATTCGTATTTGCTTCAAAGCTAAAATTCACTATTCGCACAAGCCACTGAATGGGTTGAACCAATTCAAACAACAGATACATTTTTGAACTACTTTTACAATGACGATATCGTCAGTAATATTAACACACATCAAATGTGATCGACAAGCTGAAACAATGTTACACAATATTTCACATCGCTCAACAAATAACAAACACTAAGGGGTGTTGGCAAGGCTTGACCCATGAGGCCCCATGGCAAACGACCCTCGTTGCCGTCCAACACGGACCCACTGCAAAAGACAACTGTTTGAGCCAACCGCCGCGCGTCAACTACTATGTGCCAAAGACAACCGCTCATTTCTTGTGTGCCGCCACCCAAGCTTGCTGCCACCCAGCCGCAGTGGTCTAGTGGCTAAGGTACTCTGCTCGGAATCCGGGCTGCGGCGGCTGCATTTTCGATTGAAGGGAAAATGCTGTAGGGCAATGTGCTGAGGTTTGGGTGCGCGGTAAAGAACCCCAGGTGCTCGAAATTTCTGGAGCCCTCCACTACGGTGTCTCTCATAATCATGTGATAGTTTTGGGATGTTAAACCCCACATATCAATCTATCTATCTAGGCTTACCGCTAGGAGTCACTGCCAGCGCTACCGCACTAACGATGATCTTGATGGTAGTTGCAATAAACGCTCTGAGGTCCCTAGATGAAACTAGTTTCTAAGGTAGCGTCGCTCATTGTTCTCGAGCCGTCCTCCTCACTGTCTCGCTTACCCCTCTTTTTGTCTGCCATCTGCGTCTGTAATTGGTGCATTCCTTGCACGTCATCTTGAAAATGGCTGGTGGTGTTATTTATTATGCAAAAGGTTCAAAATGAGTATGCGTGCGCATATAGCTCCAGCCAGATTCTCGCCGTGAAATTGTAGCCAAGACAAACTGAAAAGTAGGAGCGTTTTAGTGTGCGCCAAGTCGGTCAAGACTGTTTCGCGGTGCTCGTTTAATGCAACATCCGCGTTTTTCTGCAATAGCTGGGTTGCCATATAACAACAGAAAACGGTTTCGCTCTCTTCAGCTTACTTCGTGCTATCCGAGGTGAAGTGCACCGTGAAGCATAGCTATGAAACATTTTACACGAATGTTTTCGTGCAACTCTGTCGATGTATGTTGACGCGGATCTGCGAGTTCATTCGTCAGTTTTCATTGAAACGCCAGGCGCCCGTTTAATGCACGCACGTCTAGTGCATGCTAGTTATTACAAATACTTGTGCGTATGCGTGCATACAGAGTAGCTGGAGGGTGTAATCAATGCACCTTCAAAAATATTTCACGCTTGACCAGTTGACCAGAACGCGGCATAAAGGAGCTGAAACGCGCTGCTTCGAGACACCTCAACAGTAGAACTCTCACTTTTCAGAAAGTTCCGCGCACCGCACCAATCGCCTGGCATCACGATTGTCTAAATGGGCATGTTAAAAAAAATAGAAAAGTTGTCATCGCAGTGCGGCCAGTCAAGTGTTTATGCCAGTCTGGCCATGGTTTTTTCTTGTCTGTGCACAAGCCAACTGTAATCACTCGCCACAATGTCACGCGCCCTGTGGTCACTGTCAGGATGCAGCAAAAAGTGCGTCCACTGTGTCACAGCACGAACGAAACACATTCGAAGAACTGGACCAGTTATAACTGTACGAACTACGATGTACGACGCGAGACGCCATGTCTAGTGGTGTAAAATAGAGAACTGCACAATGTTGCCAGTTAAGTAACGCACATCCTGCTTGCTTTTGTATAGTACCGTTTATGTTTATAAAGGTAACCATTTATTGTACGACTCATTTCGTTCTATTTTGTTTCATTTACATCTATTCACCGTAGCAACTGAACCCAAACATTCGCTTTTTGATGAAAGAGTTCAACTTTCTAGGAGGCGCTTCAGGAACATAGATGAGGAGGAAAGAGAAAGGTGTCACTAACTTGGAAACTTGTTTCATCTATGGACCTTAAAACGCTCTCGAGCACATTTCCACGTACCGCTCAATAGTTGTGAACCCGAAATGCAGCCTATGCTCGAGACACCTGCACCACGTGTCACAAATGATTTTACAGGGGGTGTTAGCACCCCCACGAACTGCTGCCACGCTACTGTTTCTTACATTGCGATATCGTTCTTCCTATCGCTGTCTTGTTCTATATAAAAGCTAAATCGATGTCATTGTCCCCATGTATTGTGCTAGTTTAAATGCACAAATGCTGTTGACAGTTCGGGTAGAGATGAGACCCCTGTTGCGCAAAAGATGCATAGAAGGCTACATGCCTCTGGCAATAAATATTAATTAGAACTAGCAAACAACACTGCCAAGGAAAGTATGAAGGATGTTATTAGTAGTAAATGTAATGTAAACATGAAGAAAGAAAAGTGGATGAAAAGATAACTTGCCGTGGGTCCGAATCTGCGACTTCCTAATAACGCATCTGATGCTCTACAAAATGAGCGACCACAGCAGCTGTCCCTCCATACACTTTATGGGGTATATATGTGCACTTAACACGAGAGCGTCAGTCAGCACGGCCAGTTGCCATGATGGCGAGTGTGAAACGCTTTTTCTGCTTGTTGTCGTGACGTAGCACGTGAACGTATTACGAGCTGGCATCCGACCACTAATCCCTTGCATACTACCTGAAAACATGAACTCTGTTAGAATGAGACCCTCCCTATAAATGAAAAAAGGAAAGAAGTGGATTTTTTTTTGTTAGAAAAGTGAGCCTTTAACACACAAAACGAGCCCTTAAAATTTTCCACTTCTGGCAGCAAATATGTGTTTTGACTGGCTTGACAAGGTTGCTGGTGGTTGTGCGACCCTATACAGTAGCCTCTCCTTAAACAGAAATGTCTGATATGAAACTGCCTGTAACATGATTGCCTTCATACTGCACTCCTGTTCACACTCAGTTAATGTAGCTCCGGTAAATCTTCCTGGTCTCTCTATCTCACAAGAGTCT